GGTACGCAAAGAAGGTCCTTCCCCCGCGTGTGGACAAGCAAGTACCCCTCTTGGATCCGGGAGTGAGAAGGAGCCGGATTAGGAGAGGAGCAATTCGCGTACTTGTCGCGAAACTCGGGATCGGCTTGGTAGCCGCGGATGAAACTGTTCCGCAGGTCGTCGTCGATCTCGAAGGTTGAGTAGACCGCGGTACAATGATCCGGACGCCGTGAAAGAGCATCCGCAAAACGGTTCGACTTCCCGGGAATGTGATCGGGAATGAAGTCGAACTGGTCGATGAAAGCCATCCATTGAGCGATGGTGTTGTTGATGGTGTCTTGGGTCTTGTAAAAGACCAACGGATTGTTGTCCGCTACCCAGCGAAATTGGCTTCGACCAAGGAGGAAGTGTCGCCACCGCTTGAGAGCGTGGACGAAGGCGAGGAGCTCCTTCTTGCGTGCATCATCAATGGAATGCACGATGGGCACTTTCTTGCTGAAGTATTCGACCGGGTGCCAGTCCACACCGTCATGTTGCTCGTGGACTGCACCAATGCCATAGTCTGACGCATCCGTAGCGACGCGCATAGGCAAGACCGGATCGTATATCCGCAAGACCTCCGCAGACAATAGCGCGGCTTTGAGAGCGAAGAATGATCCCCGCGCCTCCTCTCCGAAGTCAAACGGTCGATCCTCGCATTGAAGCTTGTTCAAATGGGCCGCGATCTTCGAGTAGCCTTTGATGAAGCGTTGATAGTAGCCGGCGAGACCGAGGAACGAGCGGACATCTGTGACGTTCCGAGGCTCCGGCCACTCTTGGACGGCCTGGATCTTATCCGATAGCGGACTGATGCCCTCCGGTGTGACGAAATGGCCCAAGTATTCCAGCTCCTGCCGGACAAATTCATACTTGTCGCGGTTGGCCTTGTACTTGGCGCGGCGGAGCGTCTCCAACACTCGTCGAAGATGCCCAAGATGATCCTCCAATGACCGGCTATAGACGAGAATATCGTCTAAGTAGACCAGCACGAACCGGTCCAACATTGCACGGAATTCATTGGTCATTGCCGCCTGAAAGGTCGCCGGGGGGGCGTTGGTGAGGCCAAAAGGCACGACCACCCACTCGAAATGGCTATACCGCGTCTTGAACGCGGTCTTGTAGCGGTCGTTCGGCTGGATCGAGATTTGATGATATCCTGATTTCAAATCCAACTTGGAAAAATATTTTGCGCCGCCCAGTCGCTCAAGAAGATCGTCGATGCGAGGAAGAGGCCCCGCGTTCTTGACGGTTTGCGCATTGAGCTTGCGGTAGTCGATACACAATCGTAGATCCTTGTTCTTCTTCCTGACGAAGAGAACCGGTGCTCCATATGGGGAGCTGCTAGGGCGGATCCAACCCTTGGCCAACAAATCGTCGAGTTGTGTGCGGAGGACCTCAAGTTCCTCCTCGCTCATCCGATAGATGCAACCTTTCGGCGGCACGACACCGGCCTCAAGAATGACCTCGTGAGAGATCTGCCGATCCGGCACCACACCGGTAGGTGACTCGAAGATGTCGGCGAGCTCGTCCAGCAACCGTACCACATGGGAGTCCGAAGACAAGTTCGTGGGTGAAGGGTCGGCTACCGCGACGGTCCGTAAAAAACATAGGCCGATCTCCTCGGGCTGCTCGTAAGTGCAAGTCGCCCGGAATGATTTGGCCGTCACCACTTGGCACCGGATCGAAGGGTGCGGTAGAGGAATAGTACACGCCACTTCCGCGCCGAAGGCGTCGCGAACGCTAAGAGTCCGCCGGTGGAAGTTGATCGTGTCATCCGCACTTGCAAACCAAGGCATTCCCAGAATGATGTCGAAGTCTGTGTCGAGAATATCGAATGTCACCGGTTCGCATGCATGAGGTGCGAAGTAGACCGGTACGGCCTCGATGTAACGGTCGAGAAGTTGTTCCGTCTTTCCATCCGCCAACTTGATCGCCGTCGGGTTTGCCTTCCTCCGAACTTGTGCGCCAAGGCCAGCCTTTTGCATCAAGGACTGGCTCATGAAATTGCGAGACGCGCCGCTATCCCGCAAAGCGCTGCAGGACGCTTGCCCAACCTGAATGCGGACATACATGAGCGGTGCGTTGTTGTCATCGTACCGCTGCGTGCGAAACTCGCGGGCCACCTTGGTAGTATACGCCAGGATGTCCCCCACCGCGACTTCGTCATCCGTCGGCGAAGTTGGTGGTGCATAGAAGGATAAGTAAGTGTGAAGATTAGCGCTAAGTGTTGCGCATTGCAGTCCCGACAAGCGGCCTGTGGTCGGGAGAGGAAGCCATGCAAAGTCCTCGGACGTGAGCGGGTCCAATGCCTCTACGTTGAACTCGCGTGCCGAATCCCGTGAAGAACCACTTGAAGACGATATGTCGCCGTTGCCGGACGGAGAAGAAACCGCACACACTTCTTGTCCTTGAGCTTGAGTACCCAGCGTAGGAACGAGCCGAGCAGCATAGTCCTCGAAAGAGAGTAGAAGAGGAGGACTATCGACTTCCGCGTGCGCCTCGGAATGAAGGCCGGTTACTCACGAAGAAACCGGTTCCGAAGGCGTCGAGAGTGTCGTCGAGTCACTCTCTGCGGTGCTCAGTTTCCCTGTTTGCCCTTGCCTTTCAATGAGCAGACCTGCGTCTGATGAAGATCGTTGTTGCACCAAAGGCAATAATGGAATCTCTCGCGTGCAATGCTTGCTCGGAGATGCCATATTGGGACCATGGACCTGCCTGAGCTGCTGCATCGGGCCCGGGGCTAGATGCGGTGTGTGTCTTCATCTTGCCGCGTCCTCGGCCTCTGTCGGGGCGGCCACCTTCCCGGGCGGCTGCGAGTCTGTCCCCTTCACTGGCAGAGACAGCCTCGCTGGATTGGTCAAACAGCGTTGCCGCTGCGACCACGGCCACTCTTGGCCGATGCTGGTCCCTGCTCGGGCCTGACGCAGATGAACGRAGGTTCTTGGCCTCCTTGTTCGTGATGATGATCTGCACGGCCTTGTCAAACAATTCCACCGTCGTCGTCAAGGTGTCCTCAACATGCGTTAGGGCATTGCTTAATGCCAGACATGACCTTGAGATGAAGGAATGGCGGATGGCTTTGAAGCCCATCTGGATGTCTGGGACTGACGTCAAGCGTTGGTACTCGGCGATCCAGTCCGTACTCGGCAGCGCGCCTTGCTCGAAGATCATGAGCTTGTCCATGGCCTTGATCTCCGGCGGCTCCACCTGGAACCGCTTGTGCCACGCCGCCTTCAGATCATCCCAACTGATCTTGGTATGCAAGTTGGCAGCTATCACTCCGTACTTGGACAAGAGGTTGTCCAACCAAGCCTGGCACGCGCCCCCTGAGCGAGAGAACAAGTATGCGTGGTGCTTGTGTTCTTTGACGTTGTGCAGCTGCAGCGTGAGCTCGAACTTGCGGAACCATGGAATCGGATTTGTCTTCATCGAGTTGCAGAAGATCTCCTGCCCGTCAAACTTTGGAGCTGTCTCACGCGGCCCCGAACTCAAGGTATTGGCGGTGGTACAAATCCGCTGCTGCAACTGTTGCATTGCGGTCTGCTGTAATTGCACGCCATCTTTGAGTGAGCCGACGTCCATCTCCAATGCGTTGAGGCGGTCAAAGGTATTGGAAGAGCTTGCATCGGCGGCGGCGACTGGTCGCTGCTCCAACCGCTGAAGGCGGTCTTGGACGTGAGCTAGCGAGTTGTCGAGACCGTGGATCTCCTCCTGTTGTGTAATGCAGGTTGCCAGAAGGTCTGTGAGGTGCGAGAGGAGCGCTATCTTGTTTGCGCTATCCTCCAACTTGCCATCTCCGCCTCGGTCCGCCAGTCCGCTGCCATTGTGAGTAAAGCCTGCTCTCCGGTAAATATCTTCTGATGACGTTGGTGTCTTTCTTCATCGGCAGCCCTTGCTGCTGCCTCGTCATGCTGGCACTGTTGTTCAATCGCCAGCAGACGTGCCTGCTCGGCATCCTCTGCCTTCTTCTTTGTTGCTGCTGCAGCGTCATCTGCTCGTTTCTTTGTTTCGGTACTCCAGGCCAGCATGCGGGCATGATAGGCCTCGTCTGCTTCTCCGGGCCTCTGGTCCATGACTGTTGTATGTGAACGCAACAGCATAGACCAGGCCGGGGCCTGCTGATGTGGTATCCCCTGCTGCTGACGTGGCACTGCTGACATGTCCTGCTGATGTGTCCTGCTGACGTGGCCTACTGACGTAGCCTGCTAACGTGGCCTGCTGATGTACTTACGTAGTCTGCTGACGTGGCCTGCTGACGTGGCAACTTACCAATGCCGCCGCAGGGGGTACCCGGAGACAAACAGAGCAGGTAAGGCGAGAGATGGCAACAACATAGGTGGGGAGGGGTGGGTGGGATAATCACCCAACTAACACTCAAATAAGGAGCCACTAATCAAAACAGAAAAGTTTGAACTTTGCAAAAAAAAATTCGA